TCAGCTGTAAAGCTGGCATATCAGGTGACGCCACGGTTTGACGTTGCTGTGTAGAATGGGGATAGCCCAACTGAAGTGATAAATGTATAGGCCTGTTGTGGTTCAGGGTCTTTCATTCTTCATCTGCCTGCGTGCAGTATTGGAGGTGGAAGATACCTGGATGTGTAATGTTAATTTTACCTGTGATCCTTTGAATAAACCAGCATGATTTTTTATATCCAAGTGGACTGCCTCGTCTCTCTGAGTTCCTGGTTAAAAGAACTGGAGAATCTGCCTTCACTACTGAACAGTTGTAATACTTTTTTTTACTACTTTTGTACATAATATTTTGAATGCATGACTATTCTGAGTATTTCCATAGTGTGATATGGCTAATTTTGCTGACTACTAGCACAGCTGTAGTCTTGTTTAGGAGACAGGGTTGCGTATGCAGAACACACATTTTAATAAAACTTGCAAAACTGTCAACAAATTGCTTGAGCATTTCTTGTAACAGCATCTCAGTGTTGCTTGCTATGTTAAGGGCTTCTGCACACACATTAGTTTGAAATATAAAAGGTGACATCCTCTTTCTGGTGTGCGTTCACAACTTCTGACTGAGCTCTCACTCCAGCTGTCCCTCCACCTCAGGCCCAGCCCGTTCCTCTCTGTCTTGCTGGGGACATCCGGCTGTAGGAATGCAAGGCGTGAGCTGGGCCCGTCCCAAATGACTGCACACACAAAAAAGGATTTAACTCTTTGTCGCAATTGTCCCCTTTCACTCTGGCCTGCAAGAGAAAACAGCACAACTCCTTAAACTAACCCCCCTGCCACCCTCAACCCTGAGCCACCCCCCTCATTGTACCCAGAATCCCCCCCCCCCAGTCTTTCTCCTGACCCCGGCCATGTGCATAAAAGACCCATCAGAGGTATCGCTGGCCACATTTACAAGTGAAAGACGTGCAATAATGGAGCGGTTAGGAAGAAGAATGAGGAGACAGAGGGACACTCACAGATGTGGAGGTGGGTGGGGAGGGGGTAGGAAGGAGCAGCGTCCCATTGTTACCCTCCTCACCCCAATGGAGGGGAGGAAGAAGGGAGGGCTAGAAAGGGGTGAGGAGGTAAAGTAGGAGGTGAAAGTGGATTTTACACCCAATTTGTGATGGAGGGAGAGAGAAAGAGGAAAACAAAACAAAGGGGAGGAAGTAAAAGAAGAAGAAGAAGGCAAAAGAAGTGAAAGGAAGAAAGTGGACAGTGTAAAAAGCTGGGCTAGCTTTTCTTCTTGTCTTTTCTCAAGTTTGCCTCTCTCTCCCTACTTTCAACTGTCCTCCTTCTCTCTCTCTCTCTCACTCTCGTGAGAGTGGGTGAGGTGGCTCAGGAGAAGAAAAGAGAGGCTGGTCCAGCTGTTCTGCAGGGAGCGTGTGAAAGCAGGCTCAGAGGTCAGAAGAGGTGTGTTTGTGTGTATATATATGAGTGTGTGTGGTAGTCATCCTAGCATTAATATGTGTGTGTCTCATTGTCCACAAGGATGGCGATGGCGACACACAGCAACAGCAGCTGGGCTGAAGAGGTCTCTAAGATGACCTTCGAACCCCTCCTCTTCCTCACACTGGGTGGGGTGGGGCTGATGGAGTCATCACAGCAGGATCGTGGAGCGAGGTGACATATATAGGAGCGACGGGGCGCCGGTAAAGGACAAGAGGATGTTGTCCTCCAAAATGTTGTCAGCAGGTCAGGAATCAACACTGGGAGGTGTTGGGTAGTTTGCCGGTGGGATCAATGTCATGTCACCTGCTAGAGGTGACAACATGGCATTTGGACATTCACAAAGAAATAGAGTTGGCTGAAAACATTGAACCAGAGTAGCTGGTGCACTAACTGGCAAGTGTTTCCTGTCCCAGACTGGAGACATTCTTGTATAAAGATTAACACAGTTATTCACACTTTGGTTTTTATATCAAAGTATAACATGTTAATTAGAGACCTTTGTTACCTTTGGACAGAGTCAGGCTAGCTGTTTCCCCTGTTTTTATCAGATCAGTGAGATGACCACCACTTAGCTAATGCAGTGATGTGCGGTCAGGGGAGGCAGGTGAGGCAGAGCCTCCCCTGTCAATCTTGAAAAGAAAAAAAAAAGTTAACCATAAAATATAATAAATGTTAATATTTGTCGGCTGGTGTGTGTTGTAGGCCCTTTTGCCATTCGAATCCGATGTTGAAGGAATTATTTTCAATAAAGAATGGCAGAATTTCTGTATGTCCCGTTCAAATACATGGAGGAGATGCGCGATGAGGCAGCACTTTGCTGTGCCTCTCGGTGGATCGTGTAATCCTCACAA